GTTCTCCCATAAGTTCCAGGATTGACTCTCATTGGATCAATTGGTCATTGCTTATCTCCATACCACTCTCCAGTCATTGCAGTAATTGGCTAAATGTATAGAAAATCTCACCCCAAACACACGGACCAAGAATAGGAGAGAAATAGTTCTTTAAAGGATTATCAAAGTAATATTACCAGAATTTAAATTCTGGGGCTGGCAAAATTATTAGCTATCCAATACCAAAACTAGAACTTTCTTCCTAGAAAACTTTCTAGAACTAATTAGTTTATCAAGGTTGCAGTATACAAGGTCAATATACCCCAAGATATTTTTAAATTTTTATATACTTGCAACAAACAATTGGAGGTTAAAATAAAAACAATACCATTTTTAATAACATAAAATATATCAAATACCTAGGACTAATAGCTGACAAAAGATGTAAAAAGCTTATAGGTTGGAAAATACAAAATACTGCTGAGAGAAATTAAAGAAGACCTAAAAAATAAATACAGATTTACCTTGTTCATGGGTTGGAAGACTCAATATTGTTAAGATGTAAATTCTCTCCAATCCCAATCAAAACCCCAGCACCTTTTTTTGTAGACACTGACAAATTGATTCCAAAATTCATATGGAAATGCAAAGAATCTAGAATAGCCAAAACTATTCTGAAAAAGAACCACTTTGGAGGGCTTACACTACCTGATTTCAAGACTTATAAAGCCATAGTACACAAAACAGCTTGATATTGGCATATAGAAAGACAAATAGATCGATGGAATGTAATGGAGAGTCCAGAAGTGACCACAACATCTATGGACAACTGAACTTTTTTTTAACAAGGACATAATAGCAATGTGATGGAGGAAGTATAGTCCTTCCAGCAGATGGTGATGGAAACAATTGGCTATCCCTATGCAAAATAATGAACTTAGATCTCTGTCTCACATAATATACTAACATTAACTCCTAATACATCATAGGCTTACATGTAAGAGCTACAACTATAGAACTTCTAGGAGAAAACAGGAGAAAATTTTATCTTGGCTTATGCAGAGATTCCTTAGATCCTCTGTCTCTAAAAGAACAAAAAGATAAATTTGGCCTCATCAAAATTTAAAACTTCTGTTCTTCAAAAGACACTGTTAAGAGAATGAGAACACAAGCCATACACTGCAGGAGAATATTTGGAAGACATATATTTAATAAAGGAGTTGCATCCAGAATACCTAAAAAAATTGTCAAAACTCTACAGTAAGGAAAAAAAACCAACCCAATTAAAAAATTGGGCCATTTGAACAGATACTTCACCAAAGAGGATAGAAGACAAATAAGTACATGAAATAATGCTCAACACCAATAGTCATCAGGAATGCAAGCTAAAAGCCACCATGAGATACCATTGCCCATCTATTAGAGCAGCTAACATGAAAAAGACTCCCTGCGCCAAGTGTTGACAAGGATGTGGCGGAACTGGACTTCTCACCCACTGATGAGGGGGGAATGTAAAATGATAGAACCACTTTAGAAAGTAATTGGACATTTTCTGAAAAAGTTAAGCATATACTTAACCACATTCCACTCCTAGGTACTGATTTAGTTTTTTCCTGATTTGCATATTTTCATTATAGTAATTGTATTCCTTGTTTTCATGTCCTGCCTTCTTCACAGACTACAATTCTTGGAGGGGGAGAACATTTCAATTTTATAGACTGAGTTTCTTGCACAATGTCTAGTAGGCATTTAATGCATAATTGTTTAAGAAATTACTTAGAGGAATAAAGAAAATAACAAGAAAAATTCATTATTGAATATGAATTTTACCTCATCTTAGTATGGTACAATATTTTATTCTATTTATTTTCATTTAAAATTATAGGATAGTGTTTCCCCCATGACTATTGCAGACTCCTGATTCATTCATAGTAATGGGTACATGATATTTAATACATTTCATTTATAGTAATAAAATCCATAATTTTTCCCCCTACTATAAATAGTGTTATTGCAAGCATTTTCTTATTTTAAGTAATTTGATTAGGACAGATACCCAGGAATGGTATTACTAGATGAAAGGGTATGAACAATTATATTACATTATTTTAAAGTATACTTGGCTACCAGTGTAGCATATGGATCCTGAAGCAGGATGATTGGAGTATAGAATTGTAGCTATACCTGGGTCAATTTTTTAAAATTTATTTTTATTTTTTAGAAGTGTTTTTTAGCTTTATTTATTTTTATTTTTATTTAATTCTATTTTTTAGAGAGAAAGAGAGCACATGGGGAGTGGGGGAAGGGCAGAGGGAGAGGAGGAGAGAGAATCCCAAGCAAGCTCCATGCCCAGTGTGAGCCTGGTGCGGGGCTCGATCTCACGACTCTTAGGATCATGATCTGAGCCAAAATCAAGAGTTGGATGCTTAATTGACTGAGTCATGCAGGCACCCCAAAGTTTGTTTGTTTGTTTATTTATTTATTTTAAGATTTTATTTATTTATTTGAGAGAGAGCACATGAGAGGGGGGAGGGTCAGAGGGAGAAGCAGACTCCCTGCCGAGCAGGGAGCCCGATGCGGGACTCGATCCAGGGACTCCAGGATCATGACCTGAGCCGAAAGCAGTCGCTCAACCAACTGAGCCACCCAGGCGCCCCCCCAAAGTTTATTTTTAAGTCAGGAAAATAATCTTTATTTTTTTAAATTTTTAAATTTTTATTTTTTTTTGAGCAGGCTCCATGCCGTGTGGGGAGCTCCAACTGAGGGCTCCAACTCACGACCCTGAGTTCAGGACCTGGCTGAGATTAAGAGTCAGGTGCTTAACAGACTGAGCCCACCCAGGTGCCCCAGGAAAATAACCTTTAAAAAAAATTGGGCCTGTTATCTTTGGGTTTAAAACACAAACACCTGTTTTTACTATTGGTGGTTCTTTCTCTTCCATGTGGCAATAATTTTTTAAAAACAATTCTATAATACAGTTTATTTTTTCTAAGAACATGTTTCATCCATTCTTAATTTATCCTGGCTAACTATCAGAAACCCTTATATGAGTATGTAAATATGTAAAATACTGTCTTGTTTCAAAAAGGATTTGAGACTGTATTAAATTCTGGTGTGAAATGTTGGGGAAAATAACAACACAAGAAACTATTTCTTGGAACACTGTATAAACAGCCTCGTGTAGGGTAGTCCGGTGAGGAAGGGCACCTATAACGTGCCAATACTTGGGATCATCTTTAGAGAAGATGTGGCTCCTGGAAATTTTTTTTCTATTTTTTTTTTGAGAGAGAGAGAGAAAGAGAGAGAGAGAGAAAAGGGGCAAAGAGAGAATCTTAAGCAGATTCCACGCTCAGCACGGAGCCCGACACAGGGTTTGATCTCACAACCCCGAGATCATGACCTGAGCCGAAAACAAGAGTGGGTCGCTTAACCAACTGAGCCACCCAGGTGCCCCTCTGGAAATTTTAATGAGTTTTTGGTCTTTTGCTTTAAGTAAAAGTGCTATTAAGTACATAATAAAATATGCTGCATTGATGAAGAGTTATTTTGCTGTTCACCCTTATGAATTTGGTGTATCAATCACAAACTTTGGTGTTACTTAATTGTAAGTAACACATTCTGACTTAAAGTGGTAAAGGGATTTATTGGAATGGTGTCAGTCAAACAGTTCCCAGAATTGATGGGATTGAAGAATCAGATCTGGAAATGGGCAGGGGGAGATGGAATTAGAGCCAGGGAGGGAAAGGCTGGGTCAGGACACTGCCAATGCTAGATTCTCATTTCTTTTTCAGTGATTTTCCAGCCTCCCCTGTATCTTTGTCACACTCTCTGAAGAATCAAGGACTGGCCAAGCAGTAGGACAGAGAAGGTTCCAGGGGTAGGAAAGAGGAGGGGTCCCTGGCAGGCTCAGTTGCTAGAGCATGTGACCCTTGATCTCAGGGTTGTAAGTTCAAGCTCCGCGGTCGCCATGGAGCCTACTTAAAAAAAAAAAAAAAGAAGAAGAAGAGGAAGAAGTTCTGGCCTCTTCTGCCTCCCACCTTTACAACTAGTTGTAAAACAATAAAGTATCTCCTCAAATAGGACGTTTGGGTTATGGTTAGCTTTTAAAAAAAAAAGTCGTGGATCTGTTACATGTATTGATTCCTGATGATTATAGGATCATTTTTCATTTTCCTAATAACGTGTACAGTGGAGGTTCTTAAACTGTGAGCCGTGCATGACTGGGGAGGGGGAAGGCCACAAATTCCTGAAATTATACATAGAATTTTGATATGAGTGTCTTTTGCATTGTTGGGTGGCATGAGGGTGCATAACTTTTGTTAGCTTCTCCAGGAGGCCCACAGCCTACAAAAAGTTAAGAGATCCTAACTGGAATGTTCTACATAATTACTTTCTCACTGTGAAATTTCATTTGTATGAATTGTCGCTAGTATTACTAGTTTATGCCGCTAGATGGCGCTGTGGTGCGCATTTCAAATGTCAATCGCAAGTTTCATTTATTTATTGAGTGAAAAAACATCGTGGTTTATTTTTTTATTTTATTTTATTTTGTTTTATTTTTAATTTTATTATATTATGTTACTTAGCCACCATACAGTACATTATTAGTATTTGATGTAGTGATCCACGATTCATTGTTTGTGTGTAACACTCAGTGCTCCATGCAGGACGTGCCCTCTTTAATACCCATCACCAGGCTAACCCATCTCCCCACCCCCCTCCCCTCTAGAACCCTCAGTTTGTTTCTCGGAGTCCATAGTCTCTCACGGTTCATCTCTCCCTCTATTTCCCCCCCTTCATTTTTCCCTTCCTTCTCCAAATGTCCTCCATGTTATTCCTTATGTTCCACATATAAGCAAAACCATGTGATAATTGACTTTCTCTGCTTGACTTACTTCACTTAGCATAATCTCCTCCAGCCAGTCCCAACAAGCATCGAGATTTAAATGGCAAGTCCTCAAGTTCATTTTAGGTTGGAAGGAACTTCCGAAATCACCTAGTTCCATCTCATTGTTTTACAGAGAGACAACCTGATGCCCAAAAGGTTAAGGAAGAACTTTGACCGGGACCAGACCTTTTGAAAAGTCAAAAGGATGCGCTGAGAGGAAGAACAGCCGGAGCTGGGGCTCTCCTCCTACCAAACTGTACTTGAACGCTGGCTGCAGCCTCTGGCCTTGGAAGGGCTAGGGGTGGTACTGCTTGTGGACTTTAGATTCTTTGGTTCTGAGACATTGGTATATTTCAGTTACAGTCAAGACCTGAAATGTGGTCCCTCTCCCCTGCTGGAGGGTGATACTGTTGAGGAGGGCTTTATGTAGTTAAGGAGGAAAGTTGCACAGGTTCTTCCTTGTGATTAACCCTCTCCCATGGCCTTCCCTGGTTGGCTTTAGACACGGCTTACAGTTACGAGCATTGTGTTCTTTCCAGAGCCAACGTCGACCTTATAAATATATATATAAGCAGTATTGATGACACATAAGGGACTTGCTAGGTTGAGTGGAGGGTTTTATAGTTGACAGTTTCTAGGTATTTACATAATAGTTGAGCATGGACGTTTTTATTGTATATGTACGTGTTTTTTTTTTTTTTTTAAAGATATTATTACTTGTCAGAGAGGGAGAGAGCGAGCACTAGCAGGGGGAGCGGCAGGCAGAGGGAGAAACAGGCTCCCCCACTGAGCAAGGAGCCGGCTGTGGGACTCGATCCCAGGACCCTGGGATCATGACCTGAGCCAAAGGCAGACACCTAACCGACTGAGCCACCCAGGCGTCCCTGTATGTGTGTTTTAAAACACTCTCATAAGAATCCATTACTTCCTGCTAGTCATAGTTTCTGTGATGAACACCATGATTAGTTATTCAGGTGCCCCACTGGGAAGGAAGAACTTCCTCCCCCAGGACTGGGTGGGCTGCGCGCAGCGGCCCTCAGCTGTCAGAGCCTCGCGGTGTTGCTCCAACTGAAGAGAGCTGCCTTGCCCGAGTCATGTCCCCTTTCCCGGGTGGCCCATCTCCAGTGGCTGATTGATGTCTGGGGTGTAAACACTCAGCCTTCTCGTCCCAACTCCGGACGACTCCGAAGAGTCATCCCAGACTCAAGACTTCCTGTGGGGAGGATAGAGAGCACCAGTGAGACTATGGAGACTCTTCTTTTCCCTCTGGCCAACTCTGCTTCCTTGCTTCCCCCTTTCTGGTGTCTGTCACTAAAATACCCCTGCATGCCATTCTCCTCCTCAGAGTCAGACCCAACCTGTGACCGTTGGTGGCCAAAAGTAATCCCCAAATGCAGATGCTGGGATAAGATTCTGGATCTGGATTATGCGCAAATGGCTTGACAATGAGGACTCCCATCAACAGTGGTGAGCTGGGTGCAGACAGCCTCTGGCACAAGGTAGCAATGTGGATGTTGAAATTTTTGACCCTGTGTGGGTCACGTGACTACTTCCTCACTGTGTGCACGGTGAGAAGGGGTCTGACCTGGGTCCTGTACTTGGCAGCCAGGGATCAGGCAGGGCATTGTGATGGAGATTCCACAGAATCACATGGGGGAGGGTGGGAGTTCACCAAAGAAAAGGAAGATGAGGTGTCCAGCGCAGTTGCTAAAGTGTTATTATGGCCCACAAGGCTCTACTCAACCTGGCCTTTCTAAACTTCATGTCCTTCCACTGTGCCCCCCCACAGCCACCAGGCAATGCTAGACTTCTAACTGTTCCTTAAATAAGTGGAGCATTTAGTTCCTGTCTTGGGTCTTTTTAAAAAAAAAATTTATTGTTATGTTAATCACCATACATTACTTCATTAGTTTTTTTTTTTTTTAAAGATTTTATTTATTTATTTGAGAGAGAGAGTGAGAGAGAGAGCACAAGAGGGGGGAGCAGGAGAGGGAGAAGCAGACTCCCCACCGAGCAGGTAGCCCGATGCGGGACTCGATCCCGGGACTCCAGGATCATGACCTGAGCCGAAGGCAGTCGCTTAACCAACTGAGCCACCCAGGCGCCCCACTTCATTAGTTTTTGATGTAGTGTTCCATGATTCATTGTTTGTGCATAACACCCAGTGCTCCATGCAAAATGTGCCCTCTTTAATACCCATCACCAGGCTAGCCCATCCCCCCACCTCCCTCCTCTCTAGAACCCTCAGTTTGTTTTTCAGAGTCCATCGTCTCTCATGGTTCATCTCCCCCTCCGATTTCCCCCCCTTCATTCTTCCCCTCCTGCTATCTTCTTCTTCTTTTTTTTTTTTTTTAACATATATTGTATTATTTTTTCAGAGGTACAGATCTGTGATTCAACAGTCTTGCACAATTCACAACACTCACCATAGCACATACCCTGCCCAATATCTATCACCCAGCCACCCCATCCCTCCCACCCCCGACCACTCCAGCAACCCTCAGTTTGTTTCCTGAGATTAAGAATTCCTCATATCAGTGAGGTCATATGATACATGTCTTTCTCTGATTGACTTATTTCGCTCAGCATAACACCCTCCAGTTCCATCCATGTCATTGCAAATGGCAAGATCTCATTCCTTTTGATGGCTGCATAATATTCCATTGTATATATATACCACCTCTTCTTTATCCATTCATCTGTTGATGGACATCTTGGCTCTTTCCACAGTTTGGCTATTGTGGACATTGCTGCTATAAACATCGGGGTGCACGTACCCCTTCGGATCCCTACATTTGTATTTTTGGGGTAAATACCCAGTAGTGCAATTGCTGGATCGTATGGTAGCTCTATTTTCAACTTTTTGAGGAACCTCCATACTGTTTTCCAGAGTGGCTGCACCAGCTTGCATTCCCACCAACAGTGTAGGAGGGTTCCCCTTTCTCTGCATCCTCGCCAACATCTGTCATTTCCTGACTTGTTAATTTTAGCCATTCTGACTGGTGTAAGGTGATATCTCATTGAGGTTTTGATTTGGATTTCCCTGATGCCGAGCGATGTTGAGCACTTTTTCATGTGTCTGTTGGCCATTTGGATGTCTTCTTTGGAAAAATGTCTGTTCATGTCTTCTGCCCATTTCTTGATTGGATCATTTGTTCTTTGGGTGTTGAGTTTAAGAAGTTCTTTATAGATTTTGGATACTAGCCCTTTATCTGTAGTGTCATTTGCAAATATCTTCTCCCATTCTGTTGGTTGTCTTTTGGTTTTGTTGACTGTTTCTTTTGCTGTGCAAAAGCTGTTTATCTTGATGAAGTCCCAATAGTTCATGTTTGCCCTTGCTTCCCTTGCCTTTGACGATGTTTCTAGGAAGAAGATGCTGTGGCTGAGGTCGAAGAGGTTTCTGCCTGTGTTCTCCTTTAGGATTTCGATGGACTCCTGTCTCACACTGAGGTCTTTCAACCATTTTGAGTCTATTTTTGTGTGTGGTGTAAGGAAATGGTCCAGTTTCATTCTTCTGCATGTGGCTGTCCAATTTTCCCAACACCATTTGTTGAAGAGACTGTCTTTTTTCAATTGGACATTCTTTCCTGCTTTGTCAAAGATGAGTTGACCATAGAGTGGAGGGTCCATTTCTGGGCTCTCTATTCTGTTCCATTGATCGGTGTCTGTTTTTGTGCCAGTACCACACTGTCTTGATGAAGAAAGCTTTGTAATAGAGCTGGAAGTCTGGAATTGTGATGCTGTCAGCTTTGCTTTTCTTTTTCAACATTCCTCTGGCTATTTGGGGTCTTTTCTGGTTCCATACAAATTTTAGGATTATTTGTTCCATTTCTTGAAAAAAGTGGATGGTATTTTGATAGGGATTGCATTGAATGTGTAGATTGCTTCAGGTAGCATTGACATCTTCACAATATTTGTTCTTCCAATCCATGAGCATGGAATGTTTTTCCATTTCTTTGTGTCTTCCTCAATTTCTTTCATGAGTATTTTATAGTTTTCTGAGTACAAATTCTTTGCCTCTTTGGTTAGATTTATTCCTAGGTATCTTATGGTTTTGGGTGCAATTGTAAATGGGATCGACTCCTTAATTTCTCTTTCTTATGTCTTGTTGGTGTATAGGAATGCCACTGATTTTTGTGCATTGATTTTATATCTTGCCACTTTACTGAATTCCTGGATGAGTTCTAGCAATTTTGGGGTGGAGTCTTTTGGGTTTCCCACATAAAGTATCATATCATCTGCAAAGAGTGTGAGTTTGACTTCTTCTTTGCTGATTTGGATGTCTTTTATTTATTTTTGTTGTCTGATTGCTGTGGCTAGGACTTCTAATACTATGTTGAATGGCAGTGGTGATAGTGGACATCCCTGCCGTGTTCCTGACCTTAGGGGAAAAGCTCTTAGTTTTTCCCCATTGAGAATGATATTCGCTGTGGGTTTTAAATAGATGGCTTTTATGACATTGAGGTATGTACCCTCTATGCCTATACTCTGAAGAGTTTTGATCAAGAAAGGATGCTGTACTTTGTCAAATGCTTTTTCTGCATCTATTGAGAGGATCATATGGTACTTGTTCTTTCTTTTATTAATATATTGTATCACATTGATTGATTTGCTGATGTTGAACCAACCTTGCAGCCCAGGGATAAATCCCACTTGGTCGTGGTGAATAATCCTTTTAATTTACTGTTGGATCCTACTGGCTAGTATTTTGGTGAGAATTTTTGCATCCATGTTCATCAAGAATATTGGTCTGTAATTCTCCTTTTTGATGGGATCTTTGTCTGGTTTGGGGGTCAAGGTAATGGTGGCCTCATAAAATGAGTTTGGAAGTTTTCCTTCCATTTCTATTTTTTGGAACAGTTTCAGAAGAAAAGCTATTAATTCTTCTTGAAATGTTTGGTAGAATTCCTCTGGGAAGCCATCTGGCCCTGGGCTTTTGTTTGTTGGGAGATTTTTGATGACTGCTTCAATTTCCTTAGTGGTTATAGGTCTGTTCAGGTTTTCTGTTTCTTCCTGGTTCAGTTTTGGTAGTTGATACATCTCTAGGAATGCATCCATTTCTTCCAGATTATCTCATTTGCTGGCATAGAGTTGCTCATAATATGTTCTTATAATTGTTTGTATTTCTTTGGTGTTGGTTGTGATCTCTCCTCTTTCATTCATGATTTTGTTGATTTGGGTCATTTCTCTTTTCTTTGTGATAAGTCTGGCTAGGGGTTTATCAATCTTGTTAATTCGTTCAAAGAACCAGCTCCTAGCATTGATCTGTTCTACTGTTCTTTTGGTTTCTATTTCATTGATTTCTGCTCTGACCTTTATTATTTCTCTTCTCCTGTTGGGTTAAGCTTTATTTGCTGTTCTTTCTCCAGCTCCTTTAGGTGTAGGGTTAGGTTGTGTATTTAAGACCTTTCTTGTTTCTTGAGAAAGGCTTGTATTGCTATATACTTTCCTCTTAGGACTGCCTTTGCTGTACCCCAAAGATTTTGAACAGTTGTGTTTTCATTTTCATTGGTTTCCATGAATTTTTTAAATTCTTCTTTAATTTCCTGGTTGACCCATTCATTCTTTAGTAGGATGCTCTTTAACCTCCATGTATTTGAGTTCTTTCCGACTCTCCTCTTGTGATTGAGTTTTAGTTTCAAAGCATTGTGGTCTGAAAATAGGCAGGGAATGATCCCAATCTTTTGGTACTGGTTGAGACCTGATTTGTGACCTAGGATGTGATTGATTCTAGAAAATGTTCCATGGGCACTAGAGAAGAATGTGTATTCTGTTGCTTTGGGATGGAATGTTCCAAATAGATCTGTGAAGTCCATTTGGTCCAGTGTATCATTTAAAGTCTTTATTTCCTTGTTGATCTTTTGCTTAGATAATCTGTCCATTTCAGTGATGGGGGTGTTAAAGTCCCCCACTATTATTGTATTGTTGTTGATGTATTTCTTTGCTTTTGTTATTAATTGGCTTATATAAGTGGCTGCTCCCATGTTAGGGGCATAGATATTTACAATTGTGAGATCTTCCTGTTGGATAGACCCTTTAAGTAGGATCTATCCTTAAGGATATCCTACTTAAAGGATAAGTAGGATAGATCCTACTTAAGGGTCTATCCATGGATGAGGGTGAGATGAGATCCTTCCTCATCTCTTATTACAGTCTTTGGTTTAAAATCTAATTTGTCTGATATAAGGATTGCCACCCCAGCTTTCTTTTGGTGTCCATTAGCATGGTAAATGGTTTTGCACCCCCTCACTTTCAATCTGGGGGTGTCTTTGGGTCTAAAATGAGTCTCTTGCAGACAGTATATAGATGGGTCTTGTTTTTTTATCCAATCTGATAGCCTGTGTCTTTTGATTGGGGCATTTAGCCCATTTACATTCGGGGAAACTATTGAAAGGTAGGAATTTAGTGCCATTGTATTGCCTGTAAGGTGACTGTTACTGTATATTGTCTGTGTTCCTTTCCGGTCT